CCTCACTTCCACGTCATTTGTTGATTTCGACGTAGTTTCCCCCAACCCGAAGCGGCACGGTGAATAAAGCGCGGTGCGGCAGACGATGGCTGAGTATACGCAATATTCGCCCTAGCCAGCGAAGTCTACTAATCTGAGTTCTGTGTGCCAGCAGATTTATCCCTGACAGACTCCCAAACACACGACGGCTTACGTGCGCATTACTAACCCGTTCGCTCCATTGAACTTGGGCTAAACTGCATAAACACCGATAGTCGAAAACCTCTGGTCGATGGATGCCTTCTACTCGCAAGTTCGAGGTCTCACAGCTATAAAGCAGAACTGAACGAACGCTAGCGCAATATATACGAACTTCAACTTCAGTGAAACGTCGCGTCTACACCGANATGATGTTCGAGCCTTGGGAATGCGGGCGGTTGTCTCTTTTGCTGCACTACCGTCATTGGCCACGCAACTACCTAAGTGGGAAAAGTAATCCACCACAACTAAATCCTGGCCATTTAGTTTCAGAGCGGGAATAGGCGAAACCCAGTCCTGCACCGAAGCACAGGATTTCGACAAGGTCGCAGTTGTCGACCAAATCTTCACTCTGCCTCTAGTCCTCGAGCTACGCCACACGCACCGTCGACCAACGGTTGTCATGTTCCTTGACCTAAAAGGAGTCTTCGACTCATTTGATAGTGAATCCCTTATGGGTTCACTTCTTCGCAAAGGAATGCCGCAGAAGTATGTGAACACACTGAGTTCACTTTACTCACATCCTTCTGGTAGCGTAAGGGTCTACGGCGAGCTGAGTAGGTCGTTCGTAACTAGCAGCGGTTTTCGTCAAGGGTGCCTTCTTTCGTCATTCCTGTTCAATTTCGTCATAGACGAAATACTAGAGAACACACTAAGTGGTCTCCAAAATGTAGGTATTGAATGGGCAGCCGGCGGAAAGCTGTGTGATTTGGAGTACGCTGACAACATTATTTGCTTGTCTGAGTTTATGGAGAATGCACAAAGACAGATTAGCGGGTTCTGTCGCTCTGTTCGGTATGTGCTTTGCACCTTAAAAGTGCGAAGTGATGCTACAAGACTGGGTGTTGCCTAGTTCTGTTCTGAAACTAGACGGTCAGGAATAAGCTGAAGTTGACTGCTTCTCGTACTTAGGTAGCTGCGTGACCAACGACGGTAGCGCATCGAAGGAGATAACCGTCCGCATTTCCAAGGCTCGAGCAGCGTACGCAGGACTAAAACACCTGTGGCGGCGACGTGACGTGTCACTAAAGTTGAGAAGTCGCATATACTGCGCTACTGTACTACCAGTTATGCTTTACAGTTGTGAGACCTTGAATTTACGGGTAGAAGACATCCGTCTTTTAGCAGTGTTCGACAATCAATGCTTACGTAATCTGGTCCAAGTGGGATGGAGTGAGCGGGTTAGTATCTTAGAAGTAAGTCGTCGGGTGTTTGGGAATACATCAAACAAGAACTCGCTGTCTCATCGAATCCAGCTCAATAGGCTTCATTGGTTAGGACACGTCTTGAGTGTGTCCGACGGTCGCCTACCGCAGCACGCCTTGTTTGCAGCGGCTGTTACAGGCTGAAGAAAGCCACATGAAGACCAGCAGATGACTTGGAGACGAGGCATGAAGAAATGCACAGAGCGATTAGGTAGAGTGAGTTTGGGGGCCGGACCAACCCAGTCTTGTAGCAAAATTGTACACTTTGACGATGGAAAACGCATACCAAACATGGCTACACTAGCATTCAAATTATCTGAAAAAGCTTGCAACTTACCTGGCTTTTCACTTGGTAGCGCATTTTCGTTTACATACTCCAGGGCTGTTTCCATAATCAAATCTATAACAAAGTTAAGTAGAAGAGAAGGTAGGGGGCAATCGTGACAAACCCCTCTTTCCGTGGTGAACTTGGGCGAAAAAGTGCCATGAGCTTCGACTCGGGTACGGCTATTAGTATAAAGAGATCGTAATATCGAAATCGGACACACCCTTCAGGGAAAAACAGCGCCAGAGTTTAGTGCGGTCGACTAACTCGAAAGCTGCTTTCAGATCGCGGAAGATAGAGATGATGGGGCTCCAAATTAATGTCGGTGCTCCAGGATTTAGCGAAGTGTGAAGATTTGGTCTATACAACCTCAACCAGGTACAAAACCAGTCTGATTCTCACACATGCACTTTTAACGTGCGGCAGGTAATCGATGAAATGTGATCCCAGTCGAAATTTCAGAGGCAATGTTGATTTAACTAATTCCTCTACGGTTTTCACGAAAATATCTATGGCCTTTCTTTTAAATCGGTAATATGACTGGTTTCCACGATTCTGTTAGAACCTGTTCCCTCCTCCAACACGAACGCTAAACTTCCATCCTTAAAAGCCGATGGGGACAGCCCATCTGGGCCGGAGGCTTTGTACCCCTTGAAGTAACTTATCCCGGGAAACCTCCATTTCAGAGGGAATACTAGCATCAACTGGGAGTATTGACTCAGTCGAGTTGGGGGTGATAGGTCAGATGTCGATGCGGGTCTGTTGAACCGAGCTTCCAAATGTTGAGCCCATCGATCAAGATGGCGTTGCTGTTTACGTATCAGTGGGCAACCGGATTCTTTAATTATTTCACACGTCCAATTTTTGGGACCCGTATTTCTAATTAGACTGAAAAGAGTGCGACCACTACCGATGGCCTCAACTTTCTTCATCTCTCTACACTCCCCTACCCACCACCTCTCCCGATCATTTCTCAGAGCTGGCGTTTGAGGGATTCCAGCTGTACCATATGTGGCATCATGAGGAAGTGTTCTACGGGCTTCCAGCAAGGCAGCTGAGGTCAACGAGACTCATCGTTTGTGATTTGAGCCTGTGCCAGAGTCCGTCGTTGTTTTTATCGATATTTGCGCAGCTTCTTTGATTTATTTCCACTGATCATTTGGTTATTGGACTAGTGATTGGAATGATAGACGATCGGAGAGCTCCACTTCAAAGGCCGGTTGGCAACTATCATTGACATTACATTGTGGCTATCCGTTGCCGGTAGTTTGTGGCGGTAGTTTGTCAGGCTTAGGGAGAATGTGACTCGTAACAAAGCGTGGTCCGTATCCACA